TTATAGTCTCCTATGCTGGACCTATTAGGTTTGGTTGGTTCTATGGCTTCATAGTGACCATCTTACTGATGGTCCAGTCTAGAGGCTTCTTCGGACAGAGCTTTGACGTGGGAACCATGGTGGGTGAGTACGATCCATGTCTAAATATATGTATATATCAATATATATATGTGTGTGTATAAACTAATGAGCTGGTGGTTGTGTGTATAACCCTTCTGCTAGTTTCTTTGCAGTGTTTCCCGGGACCTGTGTGTTTCTGTCCCTTTTCTAGGGTAGGTCCTCGATGAGCACCCCCTCTGCTGGGTTCAGAAACCGGGTGCTCGACTTGCAATGTTATTTCACTCATTGATATATCTCCAGACGGTAAGAAAAGCTGGGTTTCGGCTTCATACTTCCTGGATCATGCGGCCATAACACAGGCTTCTGCGGGAGCCTTCGTGATCATCAGGACCCCGGCGCGTCACTGCAAAATTTTCCTGGACGTCCGGCCTGGGTTACGCTTTCATGCTACCCTGACTGGTCTACCGTATCTGGGTTGCCCTGAGGAGTTTCCCGATCACCAGGATATCCCCTCTTGCTGAGGCATCGAGCGGGAGGTATAGGTGGCATTACGAGAACCTTCCTGTGTAATGCTGTCTCGGGCAGTGCTCCCCTCACCTTTGAGGGTTGTATTTGAGCTTGCTTCTCCCATTTGGCTCAGTACTTCCGGGTATCTGTAAACAGATACTCGAAAACTCTAAAATCCAAATACTATGGTAAGTGCACACGTTAAGCTTTGCGCACTTTTCTACAAATCCACATAAGTGGTAAGTGTGCATTTTATGCTTTGCACACTTTCTAAAATCTACATAGATGGTAAGTGTGCACGTTATGCTTTGCCCACTTTTCTAAAATCCACATAAGTGGTAAGTGTGCACGTTATGCTTTGCCCACTTTTCTAAAATCCTGTATGGTAAGAGTTACGCGTTATTGATCTCGTTCCCTTTCTCTGAGTTGGTTAGACACCGGTACCTTGGGCTCCACTCAACTAGTGTGTCTCTGTCGACACACTCTGGAAGCATCGCTCCCCTCACCATTGAGGGTTATTGTGAGTATGGTGTTTTCTTTCGAGCGTTAATCCTCTCTGAGGATTTG